TGTGTATATATATATATATATATATATATATATATATATATATATATATATATATATATATATATATATATATACACACATATATATATATACATATATATATGTATATATATATATGTTTTTTTTTATTGCTAATATAAATTTTTTTCTTTGCACTGCTTGATTTTGATTTTTTTTTTACAGTTTTGATTTGCAGTTCTTTTCCGTTTGCAAATTTCATTTTTATTCCTCAAAGCTTAATATTCCCTTTTGCAGAAAAATTAATTTTCGTTTAGCGATTTTTGGAGATTTGCATTTATTATTATGATTTTTTGCTTAATACTTTATTTTTTGTTTGCAAAACTTTTTTATTTTTCAAGTAAATATGGCCCTAGATTGACTCCATATGCCATAAAATATTTCAGATTTTCATTTAACATGCTTTCTTCTTCTTTTCTTTAACAATAAAACCAAAATCAAGTGTAGTAGTGCAACAGGATGTTTGTTTAATAAATTTTTTTGTCAACCAACAATGCTGTGTGTGTAAACCATTCTTTAAATGACTTTCACAGCTATTATTTAAAACAGTAAACACATGGGTAACCGCTTGGTAGAGGGGCAGCCAGTGGGTTAAGTGTATTAATACTTTAAATGACCCTTTTCCAAAAAAAAAAAAAAAAAAAAAAACCTCGCTCCTGGACTCATGAACTTCTTTATCATGTTTTATTCATTTAATTTTTTTTTTTTTAATGTAACTGTGCCAGAAAATAATTTATTCTTTCTTGGGGGGTAAAAAGATAACGATCATCTGCTGTGGATCGGTTTGTTCTTTCAAAAAAGTTCATGATCAGATATCTGTTTAAGATTGTAAGAAACTAGAAACTCCCAGGATTACATTACTCTTCACAGCGTGAAAGGAGTGCCAGGGAGAAATTAACCAGACTGCCTTTTTATTCTGGAATTATGACTATAAGATCAGGTGCTGTTCGCAAATGGTGTCACTGACGGTTCTGAGTGATGGTGTCAGGGGGATAAGTGCACTGGTAAATCTCTTTACTGGAGGAGAGAGCGATCATGAATCTAACAACAGCTGCTGTGGAAACTTCATCATCATTTAAGAGCTGGAACGGGTTTGGGATGAAGGGAAAGTCCAGTTTTTGGGCAGGTCAGTCAAGGCTTGGTGCTTTGGACTAGACTCCCTTGTTGTCAGGCTTTAGAACAGAAAACACAAACACCTGAAGGATTTAATTGTCCCAAAACTGCCCCAAAAATGAACTCACTGACCTAATTAGATTTAATCGAAACCATGTATGTTTTCATGTAGGTTATTGCTTAGTTGACTGGCCTGATTCTGTTGTTTTCATGTCAACAGTACAGCTCATGAAGAACCTAAATGGAGTAAGTTCACAGTAGGGTTGGGCTGATAGACGATGCTATAGACCAGTGGTTCCCAACCTGGGGTCCGCGCAAGAGTTCACAGGGGGGGCGCGGGAGAGGATAAGTATTGAGGTAGAAAAAGGCATAAAAGTGCTCCACTATTATAAAGGGCTTTGCAATTAATCGAAAATCCGATTTAGATTTCGGTTTCAAACGATTATAAAAAAGCATTAATCGAGATAAATGATTATTGCCTCATATTTTGCCACGTTCCAGTTGTACACGTGTCATCTAATGTGAGCGCTGTAATGGTCAAATAGGTGTCAAAACGCGGTGTTTAGTGATTATTTACATTAACCCTCATTTGTGTAATAAACAAACGAGTTGAGGATCAAAAGACGTGAAAGAGAAACCATTAAAGAGACAGCGCGCTATAATCCTTCTGCCGCCTGTTTTTAACATTATTAAACAAACATAACAAGAAAACCCTCGCTGCTCTTGACCGAAGGACTGCTGTAGCTAAAGTGTTTTTCTTACAGTGAAGATGCTTAAAGCACAGTTTGTTTCATATTTTTATTCTATTGTATTTATTTCTCTTTCCTTTGCAGGGTGGAAAATAACTGTATGCATACAGTTGAAGTCAGAATTATTAGCCCTCTTGAATATTAGCAAACCTTTTCCTGCCCAATTTCTGTTTCATGGAAAGAATATTTTATTAACTTATTTCTGAACATGTTTTGATATCTCATTTCTAATTACTGATTAATTTTTGTCTTTGCTATAATGACAGCACATAGTATTTTACTACATATTTTTCAAAATACAAGCATTCAGATTAAAGTGCAGTTCAAAGGCTTAATTAGAGTAATAAGGCAAGTCATTATAACGGTAGTTTATTCTGCAGACAATCAAAAAAATATCTTGCTTTATTCTTGTCTTTATTTTAGCTAAAATAAAACAAATAGAAAAAAAAATATTGTAGGAAATACTGTTTAAATTCCTTGCTCTGTTAAACTTAATTTGGGAAATATTTATAAAAAAATAAATAAATCTCAGGAGCGCTAATAATTTTGAATTTAACTGGCAATCGTTTTGAATAATCGTGATTACAATTATGACCAAAATAATCGTGATTATGATTTTTCCCAAAATCGAGCAGCCCTACTATTATATATGTATTTTTAAGTACCAAAAAAAAATCTAAACACATGCTTAAAATTCCAACATAATAGTGAAAATAATTAAAATAAATAACTTTAAATAATTATTTAAATTTTGCTCACTCGCGCAATCTGCTTGTCAACGTGTCGTAAAGGCAAAATCAAAACAAAAATGGCAGACAAACGGAAATGCATTGATTCTTCAGAGGCGAAGAAAAAGATTAGACAGTATGACAAAGCCTACCTAAATTTT